CTCTTTGCTTCCTTACGAAGCGTAAAGAGCAAACTCACAGGTACCATGCCTTGGCCTTGGGCGGGTGTAGGCAACCTTGGCTCTTTTATGACTCGTGGACTTCAACTCCCAGAATTCCTGAGCCAGCATGGCTCAGCTTGGAAACCTCTCCCTTTCCCCTCAGCATGGCTGGCTCAGGAATTCTGGGAGTTGAAGTCCACGAGTCATAAAAGAGCCATCGCTGCCTAGCCCTAGCCTTGGGTTTGTAGCCACTGCTTACACCTCCCTTCCAGGGGGCTTAACTTGCAGTAATATAACAATCAACAAGCCAAAAATGGAACAAAAAGACTAAAACTCCTGTCAGCTCCCAGATATGCATAGATTTACTCCAAAAGTAACATAGGACCATAAACCAAGAAGTAAATTATCCCAATCAAGAACTGCAAAAAAAGCTCAAAGTAAGCAGCCCAACTAAAGAGCCTCCCAGACTGCTCCCAGCACACAGACAGGGCAAGGCAGAAGAACAGAGGTCCCCAACCTTGACCGCTTTATGACTTGTGGACTTCAACTCCCAGAATTCCTCAGCCAGCATGGCTCAGCTCTCCCTTTCCCCTCAGCATGGCTGGCTCAGGAATTCTGGGAGTTGAAGTCCACAAGTCGTAAAGCGGCCAAGGTTGCAGACCCCTGCAGTAGAATATAGACCAGGGGTAGGCAACCTTGGCTCTTTTATGACTCGTGGACTTCAACTCCCAGAATTCCTGAGCCAGCATGGCTCAGCTTGGAAACTCCCTTTCCCCTCAGCATGGCTGGCTGAGGAATTCTGGGAGTTGAAGTCCACAAGTCATAAAGCGGTCAAGGTTGACTACCCCTGATATAGACTAATGAAACGGCTGCAAGAAAACCAAGCTCGGGGAGAGAGAACCGCAGACCACTCTCCCTTCGGTCGGTTTTCTGGCATCACAATGGAGCGGAGCATGCGCAGAAGACGACATCAATCCCAGCGGAGAGACTTCGACTCGTAGAGGGAAGCTCTCGCCAAAGCGTAGTCGCGTACGACGTTTTACCTCTCCGGGAGGCAAAGGGGGCGGGGGAAAGCGGAGCTGCCCCCCTCCCTTCCTGGAACTGAGCAGAAAGGCGGGGGGGGGGGGACGGACTGGAGGGAGCCTCGACTGTGGCTTCTGGTCCCCGATCTCCGACCGTCGCTGGACCTGCTGGTGGCCGGGGGGGGCAGTAGGAACGAGCGTCGCTTCGGAGGCGGCTCTCCCCTCTTCGGACCCCCCTTTGGCTTCTTCTCCCCTGCTGGACCCGGAGAGGATTTTGCTCTCTTTGAAGCGCAACGTTGGAAAGGGCGGCGCGGGGACCCGAATAAACTCATCCGGACAGCCTCGGGGAAGGATCGGACAGCTGTGACCGAGAGCGGCCTCGGAGGGAGCTTCCCCCCGTTCGGGCCGCGCCGAAGCGGGAGGCCGGATGGAGGCCCCGGGGTCTCCGGGGGCGGGAGCAGCAGCGGCCCCCGCGGCACTTCAGGCGGGCAGCGGAGGCGGAGGGGAGTCCGGGGGAAGCGGCACCGGCTCGAGAGGCCTCCCCGAGGGGCCCCGCAGCTCCGAGGCCGAGCACCGGCGCTTCCGCAGCTGCCGCCCCCGGGAGGCCGAGGGGCCCCGGGCGCTTTGCAGCCGCCTTCACCGGCTGTGCCGCGGGTGGCTGCGGCCCGAGCGGAGCGGCAAAGCCGAGATGCTGGACCGGGTGGTGCTGGAGCAGCTGCTGGCCCTGCTGCCCCCGGAGCTGGCGGGCTGGCTGCGGGAGTGCGGGGCGGAGAGCTGCGCCCAGGCGGTGGCCCTGGCCGAGGGCTTCCTGCTCGGCCCGCCGCCCTCCTCCGCCCCCCGGGAGCCCCCCGGAGAGGGCCGGCAGGTGAGACAAGTTGACCCCGAGGGATGCCTGGGATGGTGTTTTATTTAGCGGCCTCTGTCAGAAATAAGAGACATTAAGAAGACCTCTGCACTTATTGGGACTCTTTATCCTTTGAGGGCTTGCTTGTTCTGGAGGCAAATGCTTCGTTTTCCTCTTGGAGATAATTCCATGGGAGGAAAGAGAAATTCAAGCCTCTTTCAGTGCACCACCACCACCACCACCCATCCTCAAAGGATGAAAGAGGCTTCAGAGTTTTGGAGAGATGACTGGGATCCCTTCTCCACTAGGCCCCTCTTCCTTTCCCTAATGCAGGATTTTATTGAGGCACTTTTCAGTTCAAACTGATGTTATTCAAACTCTTCAGCCTCCGTTAAGATATTGTGAACCTTCTTTTAAAGTTATGCACACTTCTGTTTCTCTGCTTTAAAAATAGCCACTGAGAAAAGACGTCTGGAACGGAGGGGGGGTTGTCTCTAACCTTGGTGACTTTAAGACTTGTGGACTCCAACTCCCAGAATTCTTCAGCTAGAATGGCTGGCTGGAGAATTCTGGGAGTTGAAGTCCACAAGTCATAAAGTTGCCAAAATTGGAGATCTCTAATATAGAAGATGCATGCTGGGATGGTGTAATGGTCTGTGGGAATGGCATTGGAAGGGGGAAGTGCCACAGAATGGACAACCATCATGTCTAACCTGGATCCCTCGCGTAAGGAAACAGGCGGGGGGGGGGATGTTTCAGTTTACCTGAGAGTGAAAAGACAGGAGGGGAGAAATACTTTCAAGCTTGTAAGACTTTGTTAATGTGGTCTTGGCTTTGATACCAAGGTGTATCCACGAACTGTCAGGCTGGAGGTCTCCTCCCTGTCATAGCAAAACTAAACCAAAAGAAGGGGTTATTCATCCCATTCCTCTCAACTCCTAATGGTCCCTAAATCTAGCAGAAAATATTCCCAGAGGAAGAGCTAGACCTGGCATACATACATCCACGAAGGAGGAAAGGGATGGCTAGGGGAGAAGATAAAGAAACAACTCCTGATTAGAATGAAAAGAGGAAATAAAGAGAGTCAATGAAACATTTTACAAAAATGGCAGTCGTTTACCCAAATGTAGCAGCCATTTTCAAATCAGAATCCTTGAGTTCTCTCACTTTGAGTTGGAGAAGTGCAAGTGGAGAGTCAAAAGATAAGGCAAGCAAACTAACATGGTAATAGTCTTTATGAAAAGTGGATCATAAACTAGGCTGTTCTTTCAGGTACAGGAGTCGTTCGCAAGAGACATCTCAGCAGAACTCCAGGAAAGAGGAGAACAATCCGGTCCTTCTCAACAGCTTCATTTCAGGAGGAACCAATTTGGGCCACCTTGCCGGGCAAATGTGGGTTTCTTCTAAAAGCAGTAAAGTTCAACCTCTTTCCATTCCTGAGCTGCTTTTACAATCAAATGCTAAGTCTATGCAGTTGAACATTGTTTTTGGTCTGTAAGCAAAGGACAGTTCACAAGATGAGAGGCTGGTATTCTTCTCGTGCCATATCCGTTATCGGACGTTGGTGATCGTGTTATTACGAAATGTAATTGATTTGTTGAAAGAGTTTAATCCATAGTATGTTTCAAAAGAATGCAAAAACCAGTTGAAAATTAGGAATTGGAAAAGAACTGCTTTAGAAATATGCCAGCATATCCACTGAAAAACTAATCATCTGAAGGACAGATTTCCCCTGTAAAACCTCCTAAGTCAGGGGTAGGCAACCTTGGCTCTTTTATGACTCGTGGACTTCAACTCCCAGAATTCCTGAGCTAGCCTGGCTCAGGAATTCTGGGAGTTGAAGTCCACGAGTCATAAAAGACCAAAGGTTGCCTATCCCTGTCCTAAGTAAACACTAAATGGCTGTAACAGTAAGAGTGCTGGTCAGATAACCTGGGTTTCCCCAGGTTATTTCCAACATTTTGAAACAGGCTAGGAAAGAAGTTTCTAGTGGCTTCGTCCTATTTTGAAAGGAACTTGGAATTTGCTGAACCAGGCAGGTGCACCCAGGGGATGCTACTCCCCAAAACCACCTTGCTGAGTCTTTCCAGGGCTGTGGGAGGCTCCCCAAAGGGGGAGGAGCAGTATTGTCATCCTACAACTCAAATACATCTAAGCCAGAGGTCCCCAACCTTTTGGGCACCAGGGACCGGTTCAATGGAGAGAGTTTTTTCCACGGACCGGAGGGGAGGGGCATGGTTTCATGTACTGCCTGCATCACGCAGATGGGACTTCACTTGTTTGCGCAGACCAGTTTCTGGCATGCTGGTCCACGGACCGGGGGTTGGGGAATCCCTAATCTAAGCCATATTTTGTGCCTTTACAGCAGTAGCCACAGGTGGTCGGTCTAA